GCTCTCTCTCTCTCTTTCTCTGTCTCTCCCTCTATAGCTCTCTCTCTCTCTTTCTCTGTCTCTCCCTCTATAGCTCTCTCTTTCTCTCGCCTTGGAATCCCACGTTCTTTCCCAGCCTCGCGACGTCACGACGTCATTGCCAGTAAGTGAACGCCAGTAGCAAAATCGACACGTGCCAGATTCCATCCATAGGAATTAATTAATTAATTAAATAAATCCTAGTTTTTTTATCTCGGCGGCATAGCCGTTGATTTCTTAATTAGTCGTGAGAGGTAACGAAGCAGACAAAGGAAGTGATGGAGGGAGTGATGTCATTCGAGTTAGCGCACTGTTTTTCAAGGTGGATTCGCTGTTTTTTGGTGTTCGCGCCGCGTTGCGTGTTACAGATCATATGTTACATGGCTCGTATAGAGTTTCATGTTACGTGTTCTTTTAACGTTGCATGTCGTCGGCAGTGATATCGTGTCAATGTAACGTACAGCGTGGCATTCGGGGAATGCCGGAAACGGAGGGAGCCTCTAACGCCCCATTGTTCCCGGTGCTCGTTGGACGGTGGCGCCATCTGCTGGCCCCCTCCGTCGCCGCGCATGCTATGTCGGCTGTTGTCGATTGGAATTTAAATTTCTCAACGGGCAAAAAATGTAAAAATAGTTCTCAAGCAAAGTTTTGTTGGCAGACGACTCGTATGCGTGCGCGTGCGCACGTCACTAGGGGGCGCAGCAGGCGTGCGTCACTAGAGGGCGCAGCAGGCGTGCGTCACTAGAGGGCGCAGCAGTCATTAGGATTCGTGATTTTGATCTCAGTATCGCGTCGCGCGTGTAATCGTCACCCCTCCAGATGGCGCTACGGTGCGACGTCCGGCCGCTAGGGGGGGGTGGGCAGGTTTACGTGCGGTTCGCGTCATTAGGGTTGTTATCCGTGTAAATTAATTATAGTTAATTATAGTAGGCGTATAATATCAAGAGCTCGCAATAGAGATGTGTACTCTCTTATGTATTCTCTTATGTAATGTCATCTCTATCGTGAGCTCTTCATAATATGTATGAGAGAGTCTGAGATAAGAGAGAGAGAGGAGCGTCTACGCATGCTACTATTGTTAAAACATTTTTCCACCGTTCGTAACATTCGTGAAACTTTGTTAAATGTGTGTGTGTGTATATATATGTGTATATGTATGCATAATAATATATATACTCGTATACATTTATATGTGGGTGTGATGGGCTACCATCTACATCGGTAATCGTTAATGAGTTAATCATGCATTTTTACCCTAATGTAGAAGAGGATTCATTGCTAGCTTAGATCTCGCTCGTCCGCCACAACGACGGAAGGTGCGCCTCGATTGTTTTACTGTCTGGTGCGAGATGGTGCCACTGTGGGGGAGATGCAGCGGTTGCCATGGCATCCGAGAGCGATGTTTGTGTGTTTGTGGGCGATGTGCGGTCGCCGGTTAAACTTTCTTTATATATAGATGTAAGAGGGGCTCTAGGCAGTGACGAGTCTCCGGCGACACCTAGTGGCCAGGATAGCGGCGACACCTGGTGGTCACGTCTGTGGCGACACCTGGTGGTCGCGAGCTTCTGTAGTCGGTGGTTTATCTAACGCAGGATTTTTTTAACGCGAGCTTTACGGCAACAGTCATTATATGTTGTGATCAGTGATGAGCGAGAGAGAGAGAGAGAGAGAGAGAGAGAGAGAGAGAGAGAGAGAGAGAGAGAGAGAGAGAGAGAGAGAGAGAGAGAGAGAGAGAGAGAGAGAGAGAGAGAGAGAGAGAGAGAGAGAG